ATTACCCCCCCAAAAAGTGATGTTTCTCAAGTTTGATTGAAGCCATTTTTCAAGTGGCAACCCTCAACTTTCTCGGGCACTCAGGACCATTTTTCAACCGTAGTTTTCAGCCCTTCTGCCCTCATATGAAAGCTCAAAGACCCAGGGAGTTGATCCTGGCGACGATTTACACAATCTCACCATTTTGGGGGCCACACAATCTCCTTTTTCAAAAGATACTGTGGGGAGGGCACTTTCAATGCTAATGAGCTGGTCAGAAATTCTCACTTGAATTAGTGGTCTGCACCCTTAATAGGCCCCTTAGTACGAGTACGAGTACGAGGCCTACACATTTTTTTTTTTTTTACAGTTTGAATAGCGCCACCAAGCAATGTCATGATGTCATCATCGCTAGGAAGAAAGCGTTCGTCGAAACCGTCACTAGTTCTCAGTTGAATTGGGCTGAAATGTCATTTTATTTGTTGCACAAGCCAGGGTTCCATCTGTTCTTTGAAGAATGTGAAGGTTGGCTTGGCGATTAGACTTCAGAAGGTAAATTGATATCTCACTTTCTGTAGTTTGTGCAGGATCCCATTGGCCGAACATTAGGCCATTTGTCTACCACCAGCACCAAATGCTACGATCTGCATGATCTGACGAACCATCTGACGATGACAATCATGACGGGATCAGGTCAACTCGGACCCAAACCAACTCGGACCCATTCCAACTCGGACCCACCACCATCTCGGACCCACAACCAACTGGGACCCACGCCAATTCGGACCCACGCCATTTCGGACCCATCTCGAGTCAACTCGGACCCACTCAGTCTCAAGGCTGCATTACAACTAATAGTAATACGCGCCCGTAGACCGAAATAGCGCCGACTCTTGAACCTCGCGAAGAGGTTGGTCTTCATTTTTTTGGTTGGAAATTCAAGATTATGGCCAGATTGATCACTTTTCGTTTCAATTTTATGAACTATTTTATTCGCCTTTTCCCGAAGATACCCCCTAATAGTAGTAAAACTATGCGCTCATATGAATGTACCCGCTTTCCCCTATCCAAAATAGGCCCGCATTGTGGGGCTTTTGTGAAAGAAATACTC